ATATATATTATATAACACACAAACCTACAAACCAAACCCTAATCACACCTCCTTCTTCATCATCTTCTCCATATATTTTTTTTTCCTCTCTGTTGACTCAACCAAAAACTATACTATATCACTCTTCCTGTTTACTCGCCTCTCTCCGATCTATATATAATTCACTTTCTTCTTACTTCAGTTTTGGTCGGTTCATTTTTTTTTCTTGGTTTGAGTTATGGCCAACCGGTGGTGGACCGGGTCCGTCGGTCTTGAGAACTCGGGTGACTCGATGAGGAAACCGGATCTGGGATTTTCCATGAACGAGAGTGCGGTGACTGCGAACCACGCGGGGGAAGAAGAGGAGGAGAAAGAAAACAGCGACGAGCCCAAAGAGGGAGCTATTGACGTGGCCAGCACGCGCCGCCCGAGGGGTCGTCCACCGGGCTCAAAGAACAAGCCCAAACCGCCGATATTCGTCACCCGAGACAGCCCCAACGCGATGCGAAGCCACGTCATGGAGATTGCCAGCGGCGCCGACATCGCCGACTGCGTGGTCCAGTTCGCGCGGAGGCGCCAGCGCGGCGTGTCCATTCTCAGCGGCAGCGGGGCCGTCGTGAACGTTACTCTCCGCCAGCCCACGGCTCCTGGCGCCGTCATGGCTCTCCACGGCCGCTTCGATATCCTTTCCCTCACCGGCTCGTTTCTCCCCGGACCTTCCCCTCCCGGTGCCACCGGTCTCACCATCTATCTGGCAGGAGGCCAGGGACAGATCGTTGGCGGCGGGGTGGTGGGCCCACTGGTGGCGGCTGGTCCAGTTTTGATAATGGCGGCTACGTTTTCCAATGCAACTTACGAGAGATTGCCCTTGGAGGAGGATGATCAGGAGCAGGGTGGTGGCGGCGGGTCTCCGCCGGGGATGGGAGGCGGTCCTGGCGAAGCTTCGTCGTCAATTTCGGTGTATAATAATAATGTTCCTCCGAATCTGGATCTTCCAAACGAGCAACAGGTGAACCATGAAGCTTATTCTTCTCCTTGGGGTCATGCTCCTCATGCCAGACCTCCTTTCTAAAGATGAACATGGATTTTCTCAAATCAATCAAACACTATATTACTCTTCAGAAGGATCATATATGAGTCTTACTTAGTTCAGCCAGTTAATTAATTACCTTCTAGACTTTATTTAAATATAAGAATAATATTAATATTAATATTAATATCTGTGTTTCTGTATATTTAATTTACCATCCAACTTGTCTCACTCTAATAAGCAACCTATCTGTGACAGTGAGTGACCATGGGGTTGCTTCTTTCTGTAATCTAATTTCTTTGGTTTACCTTACTTTTACTTTTCACTCCAACCTCTGCTTCTATTTCCTTCCTCACATACACTACAATTAATACACTGCTGAAATAATACAATGTTAAATATATCAATTTTAATCACACCTATTAATTAAATTTCTTCTAGATCATGCTAATTTGACCGATAATATTCAAAGAAAATTAAACTCAACAACAGGGAACTCACTATTTCTTCCATCCATGCTGATCCATCATACTATTTAAGAAGCACCAAATCTTAAACAAGCTATTGTATATCCATCGTGTTACTAAAATTGTTTTTTCTTTCCACCACCAAATCTTAAACAAACTATACTATATCCAAATGAAGTAATCAATTATTGATTATTATAATATTATCTTGTATGCAATGCGTTTTAGCTCTCATGAACACACACAGTGCTTCAGACATGGGACAACCATGTAGATTTCTTAATACTGTTTGTCCTTGTGCTGATCGATTGCTGGAATATATCTAATCATTGGTCAAGATTATTTGTTAATAAACTTTATTCACTTAAGCAACATCCTTTATATAATCTGAAAAAAAAATATAAGTTTCGTATTATATAATTGGAACTTACATTAATAGGTGCTGAAATATGGGTATAAAAATATATTATATTCATTGGACTTGCTTCTATTAAGATAATTCGTGCAATTGTACTGGTTTTGCTTCTATATATAGCTATAGACAAGATTATAAATAGTTGTTTCCAGTTTAGGTGTGAGACTCTTATTTGTCTCTGAGTTTGTTCTCGGTGAGTTCGTTCTCGGTGAGTTCGTTGCCGTTATCAACATTGTCTGTGATGTTTTTTTTTGTCAGATCTTCACATTGTCGATTTCTTTTTCAATTTCTTCAAGTTCTTTCCTTTATCTGTCGTTCACTGCTTTGCTACTTCGTCTTTTGCCCTAACTATTATCATATTGTTTTTCTTTTATTTAAATTTTTTCTGTATTTTTACAACTATTCCACAAGTGTTTTTCTTTTATTTAAAATTTGCAAAAAGTATACCGATCATAAGAAAAAAAAATGTGGCGAATGACTCATCATATATATATATATATATATATATATATATCATTGTTTTAATAATATTAAGTTGGTATTTTGGTTTAGTTCTTCCCAATCATAAAAAATGGATATCCTAACTACCTACTTAAATTTTAAAATATTTAAATTCTGATATAAGATTAATTTAAGTACATTGTGTTTTTTTTTTATCAGCTCTACTAAGGTGACTCACATAGTAATATTGTGTGGCTAAGGGAGTAATATGTCAGAGGTTGTAAAAAGATAATACTGAGATGTGAGAATTTCACATTTAAGGTTGCATTCTAATTTGTTATATATGTGTAAATATCAGAAATATAGTTACCAAAAATACAGTTTATCTTACATGTGAAAAAACAATATCAGTTATTTTTTGAATGAGTTATTGACTTATGATATTGTTTGGATAATGTTATTTAGACTTATTTCCATGATATTATAATTTTAAAAGTAAGAAATATATTTCAATTTGAAACAATATATCAAAGTTTAAAATTAAGATAAATTTGAGTTAAAATTTAAAAGTATTGAAAGGATAAAATTAAATCCCAAATGGGTTGGATCACAAATTAATATTGAAGACGAATTTTGATCTAACATAACTTAACTTCACAAATTAATATAATAAAGTACTTGAGTGTTTCAACCCAAGTAATTTGTTGCTATTATTAATAATAAGTATAGATAAATCCGAAATTTCGACAGAAAAAAAAACTCATTGTGTTTAGGTCCATATTTTATTCTATTACCAGGAAAACAAAGGTTGAGTCTTTTAAGGCTAGTGTTAAACTTTATGGTGTCTTTGGACAAGGGATGTGTATATAAATATTATATTTATGTCTTCAAAATATACTTTAAATGATTAAATTCGATATTCAAAAAAAAAAAAGTCAATACATAGCTTATGTGATTTCTTATTAAATAAGTTATATAAATCAATTTTATTTTATTTTTTTAAACTAATTAGACATTAACTAAAATAGTATGGTTGGGAGAACTAAAATGACAAATTAAAAAATGAAACTTAAACCTTCTTCATATAAGTGAAAATCATGCAAATAATACCAAGATAAATCGTGGACAATGTTGTGATGAATGGGAGATGAAAAAAAAAAGAGTGGTGGAACATAAAAGAAAAACAATATAACAACACGAAGTTAAATATCTCTTTTTTTATTCTTAAAAACATTTTCTATAATAATTAAATATTTAACCATTATAATACGGTTAAAATATTAAAGTAACTTTTTCATATTTACAAACTTGTAATTACATCATTTACTATATATGACAAGTGAATCGTAGTAGTCATAAAACCTCGTTTTCCCATTCTATTATTTATCCAAAAAGGTTTGTCGCACGTAGTTAACGAATTGTGTCTGTGTTTTATAAGGGTGAATATTGGATAACTGAGCTTGCCATTTTTGGAGAAAAAAAAAAAACTTCTTAATCTAATAAACTACACGAGGTTGGAATATCTTCTCAACAAAAGTGTACTATCTTGATTTTTTAATATTTTTTATTCATCGATGGAATGAATTTTAATTTAATCCATGAAGATATGTACGACCAAATTGCTGTTTTGTCTGCGTCCTTAAAGTCCAAATATTAATTTCGGTGATAGCGATTAGGAGAACTTCAGATGTCATATCAATAATTAATGTAGTAGGTTTCAGTAAATCACAACTAATTAAATTATGTACACAAGCAAGGAATTGAAAATGAATAACAAAAGAGAAAAACGAAATCCTAAAGACATGGATGTGGTTTTTCTAGTGGTAATAAATCATACATACAACTTTTAGCTATACATGCAAACTTGCATATGTCGTCATTCATGTCGCAAACGCACAGAACTGTTATTTACAATATTCTTCAAACATCAATTAATCATTGAAATGCCAATAGTTACATTAATGATGACAAATGACACTAATTTTATTCATCAATGTTATTATTTTTTTTTTTAATTTTCACCTTTTTCTATCACGAAATAATTATACCCAGGAATCATCATTGGGAAGAAATTCAAATTAAATTTGTTTAGGAAAACTAATACATATCTACCCTATTTTATTACATTTAAAAAAAAAATTAATGATATTTTGACAACATCTTTTTAATAATATTTTAACATTATTTATGTGTCACTATGTGATTAGTCTAAAATTACTTCACAATCAATAATAATAATCATAAACATCAACATAAACCAATCACAGAATGACACGTAAATGGTATTAAAATGTTGTTAAAAAAATGTTGTTCAAGTATCATTATCTTCTAAAAACACGTCTATTAAAAAACATGAAAAAAGAAGATAAAATAAAATTATATTATTTATTTGAATGTTACCTCCTTTACTTAGTAATCTTTTATAGAAACTAAAAACGACAGGAATTATATTTTAAAAAAAGTTAAATCTTCATAATTGTCTCTAAGAATAGTGGCTTTCTTTATTTGTTTGGAAGAACAACTTAAAAGTAAAATAGAGGGAGTATCTAAAAGTTTCCAATGTTACAAGCTTCTTTAAACTCCCAAAATAGGACATTGATTTGTCACAGGAAAGCAAAATAGACCGACAAAATTGGCAAGTGGATGGTGTGACTAATCCAAAACTTTCAGTATTTCGCAAGGTTTTTCCATTAATGTAAGCTTATGAAATTAGTCATACTGTATAGAGATGCTACTTTCTCCATTGATGTTGACTCTTGGGGTAAACATATTCACTATAGCAGACACAAGCTGTGGAGAAAGAGTAGTTAAAGTTAGAAATGATCGTTTTTACATTTATGCTTAATTCCAAGTTAAAACCACACGTTATGAGGATTTCGTGCCATACACACATAAAACAAGTTTCTGTCAAGAAAATCAGTTCCAAAATTCATCAGAAGCTGTTCGAAAATTAGCTACTGCAACAAATAATGCAGACTTAAGAACAAAATCTCAGCAATAAACTTCCCCTATCTGTATTCATGATTTAGTAGGTATGCATTACATGCAACCCAATAATTCAAGAGCCCCTTCACGCACGCGACACAACAGTATGGTTTTCTCGAATGTGCCTGTCTCTACTGATATAGAACATGGCTGGTGCTTACATTGAAAACTTCACATAAAGTTAATTTATAGAATTTAAAATAAGATCAACAGTAAATTTTTATGCATATACATGTATAACTTAGTTATTGTAAATTTGTCCATGAAAAAAAATGAGGATATTAAAGAGATGATGTTGAGGTGATTAATTTGGAAAGATTTTGTTGGGTGAAGGGATCTTAGAGTAAGCAACATGGAGGATCCAATTCACAAGGCATCACGTGCCAATGTTGATGAAACCCTAATATATTATTCATGTGCTTACTCATTTTTGCAACATTCTAAGGGTAAAGTATGTAGATATGCCTTGCTGGATCCCATTTAGGTCTGACGAAACAATATTCAAATTGCTTAAAGTAACGATAACACTTCAACAAAGACTTGCCAACCAATGCTTTATCCCCTTTTTTTCCTCCAAAATTTTCTTCATTTCAGCTGGAATTTTTGCTCCAAATGTACCAGTGATGATGTGTGAAACTCTACAAACCAAATTAGTTGGTAGGAATATAAGTGTGAGTCTAAGTTTCACATTGGATAGAAATAAAAGTAGAACATTGTATAAAAATAAAATACCTATATAATCCATGACCTTAAGATTGAGTAGAGAATGATGTCAATCCCTTATGTGGTTGGACTTAGATCTCATTGGTGTTGGTATCTCTTAGTGAACCTCCTCCTCAATAAAATCAATAGTGATATCAGAGTTAATGGTTTGTCTTG